TGAGCATCTTTGGTGGATGGAACAAAAGTCCAGGGGCTTCAGTGACTAGGCCAGGGTCATTTTCTGGTGTCGGAGCCGAAGTAGCAGAAGGAGGTCTAGAACTTCGATTTCAGATTGTGTCCACTCCGGCTGGCTGGAGTCTAATGCTTGGACTATCTCCCTTTGCATTAGACCTGCTCGAACCCCCTCCCCCCAACACTCAACATTGCAATGGATGGCATCGGGCAGTTCTGTTGCCAGAGAACCTCTTCAAAGTATTAAAAATCAAATATGTCACTTTGAGAACTAAGTTGCTCCTGGCCCAAGCCGGGGACTGTCCAGCCGCCTCGCTCCGACGCATGCCAAAGTTGGACCGTGGAGAAGGTAACTGGAACAACTGAGTGGGTAAGGGAAACGGAAGGAGAATCAGTGCCCTTGAATTAGGGTGTTGGTGAAGAATATTGGATATATCATGTAATGAGTGTTTTCAATGAAAAAAAAAAAAAAGGAGATTACTTAACCCAGTGGGTGCAACCATGGGCTCAAGCACAGGAACAGTGGTCAGAGTGGCACGGGGCAGGGCAGTGTGGGGCTCTGCTGTGCCTCAGGTCGTTATGGGATGGCATTGGCCGGGTGGCACCTAACCACCACAGGGCAGGTGCACGCTAGTCCTCAAAGTGACATTTTGCTTTTTAATGCCTTAAGAGATGTGTGACAGATTTGCCCCATGTAATACATCATTTGTGGTATTGAACGCTGCTTTGATGAGCATGGATTGTGGATCCAAATGAAATGAAGTCCTTGGGGTTGGGGTGGGGGGAGAATATTGACTACATCATGAACACATCTCTCTTGGAAGACATGGTCAGGACATCCTTTTCCCAAAATCACACGACAAGCCAATTTCCTGACCATACGGCGACTTTTGTTGTTTGACTGAATCGATAGGCATCAGAAGTTGTGTTGAAGGTGAAAATCCCCCGTGAAGAATCCGTCCACGGGCCCAGCCTGAGGTGCAGTTGACAACAAACACTTGGTTGTTTGGATAACAATGGCGGGCATAGTCCTTATATTTATTAAATGCTCTCAAAGACATACCCTTTTAATGCGTTTAGTAGCTATCATTGCCTCGCTATTTGTGCATGTTTGCAGTCTCTTTACTTTCACAAGTCTGTTTGGGCTAGTGCCAACACATGCATAGACAATACGATTGGGAAACAGGAGCCAATAAGCTATGTTACCGTCATCTTGTGTGGTGGTGATAGGTGCTGTTGTAGGCACAGAACTATACCTCCCAAGACCCGCCTACCAGCTCCTGATGCTCAGGCCCGGCCGTGGCACCCCGGGAAGCAGAGGGGGCTTGGACATTGACCGGTGCCGGGTGGGAACCAATATGAGGTGCTGTTTATTGTTTGGCAGGCCTCTCGGATGTCCAGGGAACCTGGGAATTGCTGTCCAAACTTCTACATTTCACACACACACACACACACACACACACACACACACACACACACACTCCGATACTGAGTCCATTCATCCCCGTGGTGATCCCTGTGTTACAGAGAAGAGCTGACCCCTCTAAGGTTTTTCTTGGCTGTTAAGTTTATGAAGGAACCCTGGGGACACAATGGATTAGCAAGGTCAGCAGTTTGAAACCACCAGCCAATCCGAGGGAGACAGGCAAGTCTACTCCCAGGAAAAGAATTACAGTCTCAGGAACCCATAGGGGCCGTTCTGCCCTGTCCTGTAGGGTCACTGTGAGTCAGACTCAACTCTAGAGTGAGCGACTGAGTGAGACGTTTTCATGGGGCCAATTCTCCAGGCTTGTCCTTCCTAGAACCTATAGGGTCGCTAGGAGTCGGCATTGACTTGATGGCAATGACTTTGAGACGAAGAGTAGACCTGTCTACAGTGACATCGGCCTCAATCGGCTTAAGGATGAAGCTGGAGGCGGGGGCCCTTGGGTATAAGATCCAGTCGTCATATGTTGTTAGAGTTGCACTTGTCCAATTTCCCATGAACACCAACTTTATCGTAGACCAGGTTTTAAACAGTAAACCCTAACATTGGACATCTGCAAGTGGGGATCTGAGAATGATGAAAGCTCTAATTCACTGCCATCGAGTCAGTGCTGACTCAGAGTGACCCTACAGGACAGTTGAACTGCCCTTGTGGGTTTCTGAGACTGGAACTCTTTTTGAGAGCAGAAAGCCTTCTCTGTCTCCCGAGGAATTCATTGCTGATGGTTTCGAACTGTTCACCTTGCCGTTAACGGCCTGGCACCGAACCACTGAGCCGCCTGAGAATGAGAGCATCGGTCCTGCAACAGCATGTGTGGTGCCTATTACCAATAATAAGATGTACCCTCCCCCAAGAAAAAGAAAAGTCTGGTCCTAAATGCGTCAGTGTGGTTCGTAGTGCGTTGTGACCCACACCAGCCCAACTGCCAGGAATTCCTCCTGCTGGGAATGACAGGGACAGCTGTGCGGCACGGAGAACCCTCCAGCGGTTGCTCAATTTGAGTTCCTGAGTTGCACATTGTGCAGAGGAAGGAGGCAGGGCCGTTTTGGCAGCTAGACAGGAACAGAACAAGAACCGGGGCCCAGCCTGGCTCCCTCTCTGCCTGGGATTTACCCTCTAGAGATTCCCTTGCAACCCACAGCGTCTTTCTCCCCGCCCAGCTCCCACCTCCCACCCTATCCCACCCCTCCCTGCTCTGGGCTACTGTTTGCAAAGGCCACTTATTCCAAAAGCTTGTTTGGGGTAAACAGTGAGATTGCACGGGCTGTGTGTACACTGTAGCAACCAACTTCCCATCTTCCTGTGAAGGCAGTCCTCAGCCCAGCCAGGTTCCCTTCATCCCTGCTCCAGTGGGAGATGAAGGGGGTGGACCCTCGGCCCTTCCAGATGCTCAAGTTTGGTGATTCTAAGTAGCTGGGATTGAGCATATGGGACAACGGTCCCTTAGACGAGAGGATGGTGAGACTTTGTCCCGTCTACTTTGGGCACATTGTCAGGAGAGACCAGTCCTTGTAAAAAGACGTCAGGCTTGGGTCATCCAAAAGGAGGACGCCCCTCAAGGATATGGGCTGCGCACTGACCACCACAGTGGATTCAAACGTGGCAGGCGTTGGGAGGATGCCACGGCGTGCTGGCGTTTCCTTCTGTTGTAAGAGGGTCGCTGTGCATCAGGACCGACTGGACCGCATCCTCACCCCACCCCACCCCCAATGCTGCCCATCTACCCAAAGTAACTCGAGACCCCACTTTTCTTCCATGACCTTGGTCTCCAGCTCTTAAACCAGTTACCAACAAGTCATCTTCAATATGGGGAATTTGCCTGTGTGAGAGTAGGATTGTGCTCCGTAACGTTTTCAAGAGCTGCTTTTGGGGGGAATTGGATGGCCAGACCTGGGTGGGCCTGAAGCGCAGATGGGCTAAGTCCCTCTCCTTTCCCCCCTGAGTTCTCTAGTCTAGCCCTGCACGGTGGCTAAAGAGAGTTGCACGGGAGCTAGAGATACCTAGCTCTTGTTGGAAAATGCATTCAATTGATCCTGAGCGGGCTTGGGTTGGCGTTTCTCTCTTGAGCATGATTTGATATGTCTGAGTGGAATGTTCTCCCATAAAAATGGGGCAGGTCTTGGCAAGAGCTTTCTCGTGGGATGGGGCTACCGACACTCTTCTGTGACTAGACGGGGGTGGTGTTGAGCCTGGCCAGTAGCCCAAGCCCAGGCTCCAGTGGGTCCAGGCAGGGCCAGGCCAAGAGCTCCCTGGTTCTACCGGTTTCCGTGCTCGGGGGTTCTGTTTTCCCAAGGAGTGAAAGAACAGTAGGTGTTGCGTTCTGGCAGCTTTGATCTTGCTGCCCGTAGGCGGGGGCTGCGGAGGGTGTGGGGAGGGCAAGATGAGACTTTTGTGTGGGTGGGTGAGCTGGGGGAGGTAGAGAACAGGAGGAGCCTCAAATGCAGGCTTGGTACCAAAGTGGGGTGGGACCACCTGGCCCGGGTGTGAACCGCTCCGCCCTGCAGTGTGGTGTGCCCTTGGCCCTGCTGCCTTCCTTGAGCTCTCTTCCCTCGGCCTCGAACTCGCGCCTGGTCCACCTGCAGAAAGATGCATGCATGGAGAAGATGGTGTCAAGAGTGGTAGCTTCATGACCGGGAGCAGCCTTGGATACAAGAACCAAGAACCCCAAGGCTTCATGGCCAAGAGTGGTGGGTGAGGAACCAGGCCAAATGGGCTGCAGCCCAGCCTTGCCGGCTAAATGCCTGCAGCATCCCTGCCACTTCCCTTCCCTGAGCCAAAGGCTCATGGGGGCCCAGCCCTCCACGTTCGCCCATCCATTCATCTCGCCAGCAGACAGCATCCTTGTATAAACTGGTGAGCATACAAGGCCTCCAGGGATTCGGTGTCTGCTGCGATGGCAGAGATAGACGCGTAAACAAACGATTTCTGGGAAGAGAGAAGAGCTCCACTAGACACCTGCTGGAGGTGCGTTGGAGCGTGGGAATGCAGGCGGAGGGGGGCTGATGGCAGCCTTGGGAGGGTGGAGGTGGGGGGCAGGAAAGATGGAACAGCAGCCCATTTCAGAGCACACTGTGAGTGCTCGGAAGGGGCCTCGGTGTGAAGACCCATCAGGTGACAGTTGGACCCAGGTCCAGGGAGCAGGCGCAGAGGCCAAGCCTGTGCTGCCAACGCAGGACCAACAACTAACTGACTCATCCATGCCCCTCGACATCCACCTCCCCGCCAGGCCCGGCCGGAGCGGCACGGAGGAAGCCCCTGTACCCTCGGGCAGGGGCGGTAACACGGGTGGTTTCCCACCCTGTTTGCTTTCATAGGAATAATAAGCAGGGATCCCATTGAGCTCTCCTTGGGCCCAAACACCCAGGGGCCGTGTGTCTGCTTTCTGGTCCCGTGTTGAGGGGGACCTTGAGCAAGGGGCATTGTGTACAATGGTGGACTTATTACTGCAGCCGAAGCTGGAAACATCCACAATGCCCCCTCCTCACAAAAGGCCAGTGGGAGTCATGAACGCTTGTGGAGTGAGTATCTGGACGGGATGTGGCACGATGGAGCTCGCTGAGAACTGGGACGAGGCACCTTTGGAGAAAAAAGATAAAAAGGAAGGAAATGCATCACGATGTTAACCGTGGTGATGAATCATTGGAGTTGCCCTTGATGAAATTTTTGGTCTTTTTTTAAAAAACAACACAAACCCTGACAATAAATGTGCGGCACTGCACATGTTCAATGAGCTAAAACCGCACTGGAGTGGTG